TATATATATATATATATATATTTATTTATTTATTTATTTATTTATTTATAAAGTACACAGACAAACACATGTGCACGCCCACAACAGAGATTCAAACAAGCACGCGCACATATTAATTATTACGTAATAGAAAGATCTAATATTACCTCATGGTATTATCAACTTTTCACAATAGCTACACTCATTGCTTAATTCTTATTACCTCCGCCAGGGGCTTGGCGGAAGTTATGTTTTCACCGGCGTGTGTTTGAGTGTTGGTTTGTGGGTTTGTGGGTTTGTGTACGCTCGCTGATTGTGATTGCTGTAAATTACATTCACATGTATATTGTAAACAGCAACATGCGATCTACCCGTTTAAAATACACGATGTGGCAGTAAGCAATTGTTGTTGTTGTTGTTGTTGTTGTTTTTGTTCTTCTGGGTAATTGAGAGCACACACATGCTCACGTACGCACGCGGCGTACGCGCGCGTGGAAGCAAACACGCCCACGCTCCAATAACCTCACATGCGCGCGCGCATCAAAGCCTATATCAAGGTAAGCGCGTGCACACACGCACCATACTTGTCGCATGTTGTGGATGTAGGTTCATATAAGATCATCGTGAGAAGAAGACTCAGTGATGCCTTATGATTCACCTGATTACATTACATTCCAAGACTCTACAAAATGCTTTTAACGTTCCTCCCTCCTTCCGTTTCCCCTTCCGCTTCCCCTCAGCTTCCTCCCTGGCCGCTCTCCCTTTCTCCTCACCCTCCCCCCAACCTCCCTTGCCACTTTTTTGCTCTGTATGACGATGTAAAGTATTTTCGTTCATCTCGTCTTGTGTGACTAGCAAAAGACTGCAACCGAATGATCCGTTGCCGGTGCATGTCTTGCTAGAGCGATATTAATTGTTCTGTAATAGCACCGCACCTGAACAACAAGAATACAGAGTCCTCGTTCAATGGTTCGGCAAATGCGGTTTTCATGTAAACTTGACAGCGACCAAGACGGGACGGCACAATCATATCAGCCCCGCCCATCAGAATTGACCTGTTTGTCCTATTGGTAAGTTGACGTAGCTACTATCTATACACATTATAGGAAGTGGACAACAGTAAGCTGCCGCAATTGTTCACCGTTGCACTATTTCGTCTCTAGAAAAGGCCTTTTTTGGAATTTTTTTTCGCCGAAATTCGGCACTAGAGTGCAATAATTTGCATTGTGCACGCAAGGTAGATGCCTCGTGGACGTCTAGAAAGCATTAGAAGTAAAATTATTCGTGTTGTGCCATTTCAGCTAGTGGCGTATCCATGGTCGCCGGTCGGCCCTTTTTGTGTATGAAACGGGATCCGACTACTCTGTAGAAATTCGCATCATAGAGCTGGCAAAAGTTTCGAGTGGAGCATAGAGCACGAATCTGTAGTTATTTAACATGAATAAAGTGTATGTTGTGTAAGCGCAGTAACAGTGTGAGTATTTTTAATTAATTTCTGTTCGATGCCTATTCAGGTCTGCAGCCTATGGACGCCCTCTACTGTTGTTCAACACCTATAAAGACTGTCGCCGAGTGAGGAGCAAGCAACCGCCGCAGAGAACAAACAAGTAAGTCTTATAGTCCACAAACGGTGACTTTGATTCTACGAAAATTATATCGTAGGCTTTCACAAAGTTTGGAAATTACGTAGTAGCACCGTTTTCGTATTAACGAGAAATTGGGAGGAAGTTTCGATAGGGATTCTGTGATCTGTATATCAAGGATTGATCGCCGTGGTTTAGTTGGCTGGTGTGTGGTCGGTCAGTAACTGCTGGCTTGCGTATTGTTTCTCGTATTTAGACAACAGGGCGGTTTTCGCACGTGGTGTGTGTGGTATGTGTGCGCGCGGCGGGTGTGTGTGTGTGTGGTGTGTGTGTGTGTGTGTGTGTCGTGTGTGTGTGTGTGTGTGTGTGTGTGTGTGTGTGTGTGTGTGTGTGTGTGTGTGTGTGTGTGTGTGTGTGTGTGTGTGTGTCGTGTGTGTCTCTTGCGGGGTTGGCAGAGCGTCGCGTGATGTGTGTGTGTCGTGTGTGACATATATACACGCACACGCATACGTGCACACACACAAGCACACACACACACACACACACACACACACACACACACACACACACACACACACACACACACACGCTGAGCTAATCGAGTAATAAAGGAGGATGTACTACGTGTCTGCAGCTGGCGGGGCCTATCTGGGCGGCACCTCTCTACGACACTCCATTCCTCGGTAGAATCATTCGTGATGTTCAAGATCGATTCGACGCGTTCAAGACTGCACGAAGAATTATCGGCATGCTGACGATGATGAATGAAGTAGATTATGTCTATAAGTCTAATGTCTAATGTCTAAAGTCTATAATGTCTAATATATTATGTATATTAAGTTAGCTATTCGTTGCATAATGAACCTTTTGATAGTTTTGATGATCTTTGATAGTCTAGTGATGTGATCTTCCTGATATGATCTAGTCTAGTGATATTTATTCGTATTTTGACAAATGAAGTATAGATCGTAATGTTTCTATTTTGCGTATGACGTGAAAGACACGCAATCGATGAAGATGGTAATTAAATCTATACCTGTAATTATACTCCAGGAGCTACGTGATATTCCGTTATTCTACGTGCTGGATGGAATCTGCAGCGTTGCGGATGTGTCATCAACAAAGATGACAAAATTCAGGTAAAAAACTGTTCGCAAACCTTGAACTCAAATGCTGTGACCTTGCGCTTTAATATTGTCACGGTGGGGCATAGCTAAAAGAAACGCAGTCAACAATTCTACCAGTGTGACGATGTTCAAGAGTGACCAACTCTATTAATGTTCTCATACGTATGTCTATTTAATAATTAATTATGTTCTATGTAACTGTGTGGGTGCATTTGAACCGATGGCAGACGTGGTGCTAATAAAATGAAAACCGGCCAACAGATGGCGATATGTGCGCTACATGACATATTCAGCTGAGTGACCAGTGTCCGTTTATTAAAAGAACGAAATAGTAATTTATTAAGATTACACTCGTAACTTAAAGAGCGCATTCCCAGCACTCCCTTTAATAACCATAATATGTCTATTATACTGCATTTCCCTGTAGAACAGCGCGCGAACTGTATTAGCGCGTACCCCATAATTATAACTGGGCAGGGAACCACAACCACCTAAGAAATGGGCAGTTGCTCTTCTTCTGTAGCGCTGCGTGAGTCGCATTAATTAATTAATTAATTAATTAATTAATTAGTGAAGTGCCTATACTTGCAATATAAGTTTACTCCCTCCGTCCGTCGTCGGGGGACACTAGCGCCCCTGTTTATGACAATCGCTCCCTGTTATGCGGGCCGCTACCCCAACTAATATGTAATGTTTTCACTACTTTATTTAGCCACTAGTGTGTTTTTGCGTCATGTTTTACAGGTCGGCGTTGCTGCATGCAGGATTCCGTGTATCTGGCTCTCACTGTCATAGTGGCGCCATCAAAACAGATGCCCCCAGTGACGTCATCTGGGACATCGTTCGCTGCTTGGTAGGTGCTGCCGCCTGTGATTCACACCGCTTGCATATATATATTTATTCCATTATTAGAAAGCTAATAAAAAAATTGTGGACATTTTGGAGGCAAAACTATTAATGATGCCATTAGGGGACCTAATTGGGAGGTGGAGCATCAAGCCCACGCCTGTACCACATCGAAGATTCAATACTAGCAAACAAGCGAGAAAAAAACCTGCCGAGAGAGCATACAACACTCCCCCCGCATACAACACTGAGCATACAACACTCCCCCTGTGTGTGTGTGTGTGTGTGTGTGTGTGTGTGTGTGTGTGTGTGTGTGTGTGTGTGTGTGTACACAATAGTATAATAAGATTGAGTGGCGGCCATATGTGTTTCTAAATGCCTACATGCAAGCTATTATTATGATTATTATATATTTATTGCAAATAGCTCGAGCATTTAAAATGTAGACCGTAACCTAGATAAAATAATTATCGATTGATGGCGTGATCGATAACCAGCTCTAGCCAATCACTGAAGTAATAATTATGACGTTCTAAAACACAACGCCTGGCAACGAAGTGCTTGCGAAATCCCACAAGTATCGAGAAAATGCGAGACACGTTCAAACCGGTTGAGCTAGTCCCTATACCTAGCAACGACATCAGAGGGCGATGACGAGGTCATACCACTAAACTCTAACAAACTATATTGTTATAGTTCAGTGGGTCATACTGATAGACATCACCTAGAGATTTTTGGGTGTTGTTGTTCTATTTCGCGATACTGACACACGCGGTGGAAAAACGCGTTGATAAGACAGCGCAAAATTTTGTTGACGCCTTTTTTCGTAGCTGCGCTTTTAGATTCTTATACCCTGTATACAGACTGTCAATTTAATACTACCTCAAACTAGTCCAGGCCTGACACGCGCTAATTTTTTGCAGTGTGTACACGCTATCCCGGGCTAAATACGCGCTAGTCTGGACTAAGTTAACCCGGACGTAGGATCAAACTTTGTAGTCTGTACGGGCTATTAGAATCTAGGTGACGACATGAGAAACGTCGCCACGATAACTACCAGGATGTAACCGGGATATAATGCGCACATAAACGTTTGCGTCTGCAGTATCGCCGTGCTCACGCAGTATTCCCGCGAAAACTTCGAAAGACAAAAGAAACAGGACGATAGCATTTCAGACGACGACTTCGCCGTAGGAAAGTACTGGGAGGTAGATTTTTTTATTGGACTAATTAATTAAATAATTGTATAGTAAGTATAATAATAATTCATATAATTCATATAATTTAATATAAAATAATAATTAATAATACTACTAATAAATAAGTACTAGTGAAATATAGCCGGAATACTGCCCTCTAGAAAATTTATATAGACATACGTAATGTGAAATATATTTGTAACGGTCATATTTGAGGCTGATTTGCAGTTTCGGGTATTTTTACTGAACGTTCCAACTGAATATTTATTAAAGTTATCCCAGTTGCTATTTTCCTAACTTTACGTGTCCCACATCTCAGTATGTCATCTGTAGACAGCAAAGATGTTTTTTTATGTTTCCGTTTACATTGCGGTTATTCGGCGACTGACGGACATTTCCCGCGCTTTTTCGCGCTTTCCGCCATCTTTAGAATGGACTCACCGTCTTCGAGGGTCTTGCCGCTTCCGGATTGCGTTCGATGCGGTTTGCACGAGAGCTTCCCGGACTGAAGCAGGTGCTGTCTAACGACCTGAGTCACACTGCCGTCGTACACATCCAGAACAACATCCGACACAACGGCGTGGAACGGATCGTCGAGGCTAGCGAGTCAGATGCCGTGTGAGTTACACGAGCACGCACATATTGTAGTGCGAAAAAGTGGAAGGTCTCAGTGCAGGATCTTGTAGAGTCGACAGCGTAGTAGCGATGTAGCGATTGTAGCAAGTAGCAGATTGTAGCAAGTAGCAGATTGTAGCAAGTAGCAGATTG